CAGTCCAAAGGGACCTGTTTCCCTGCTGTGCCCTCTTCACCCTCACACAAGCTTCATTTTCCTGTGCAGGCAAGCGACAAGACAATCTTGTACTCTGTGGCTTCTGCGCTGGTGAACTGTACCAACAGCTATGATACCAAGGAGCTGGTCCCAGAGCTGGTGCAGCTGGCAAAATTCTCCAAGCAGCACGTGCCTGAGGAGCATCCAAAGGTGGGTTGTGTCCAGCTGGAGATGCTGTTCAGAAAGACTTTCTTTGGTGTATCCATTGTCACAGACTTCAGGTCTCCTGTCTCCAGACTGAAATTACCTTGCTCTCCAGCCAGGCTTGGCTCTTAGGTGGCAGGATGGCAGAATGGCAGCTGCTAAGGGCTAATCCTTTCCCAATGTTTCCTCCTCAGGACAAGAAGGACTTTGTGGTGAAGCGGGTGAAGCGGTTGCTGAAGGCTGGGGTTGTCTCTGCCTTGTCCTGCATGGTGAAGGCTGACAGTGCCATTTTGACTGACCAGAGCAAGGAGCTCATTGCCAGGTGCCTTCACTGCAGTCCTGGGAGCTGGGAGTGTTGGGCAGCCCCTGTGCCATGGGAGTGGACACCAGGGCTGGGGCATTCTGCCTGGGGAGGAGTATGTGAAGCAAAGATTTAAAACCAAGGATTTTGTTTGGCAGTGTCATAAAAATCCATGTTCTGACCTTCAAGCTGCCTTGCTGAAATGCATTTTTGAGTTCTCTGTATGGCTCTGGCTGGTGTAGAGTTAATTTTACAGACCTGGAAATTTCTTTGTCTGCCATTTGTTGCTTCCTCATAGAGTGCTGTGTGCATGGCGTTAAGCCACCTGGAATTTACCTGGTGGCTCTAGCACTCCTGCAAAACCTCAGCCCCTCCCTGAGGGCTGTTGGCTGTTGCTGTCCCCTGTGGCTGTTTCACTGAGTGTTCTGTGCCCCTGCAGGGTGTTTCTTGCCTTGTGTGAAGACCCCAAGGACCGCGGGACCATTGTCGCTCAAGGTGGTGGGAAGGTGATTACTTTTATATTCACAGCTCCTGATGTGCTATTAATGTCTGTTGGGAGCCTGGGGTGTGTCTCTGGTGAGGGACAGTGACAGAAGAGCACAAGTTATCCCCACCGGGGCCATACTGACACTGCAGTCCCATCTCTGCAAGGCTTCAAAGAAATTATGTTCATTGTGAGCTTGTGGTGCCTCATTGAGAACAAAAGCAAGGCATCACATGGGATATTTTTAATTTGTTTTAGTCTGTTAAGATAATCCTGTAAATCTTCTCAGAACACTGAATGCTTTTTCCTGTGTGTCTCTAGGCCTTGATACCTCTGGCTGTGGAAGGCACAGATGTTGGCAAGATAAAGGCTTCTCATGCTCTGGCAAAAATTGCTGCTATCTCCAATCCAGACATTGCATTCCCAGGAGAGAGGGTAAGCTTAAAAAAATAATAATAAAAATAAAAGCATTGATACTTCCTTTAGCAAATGAAAATTGCTAATACAGGCCTTTTCTTCCAGGTGTACGAGGTGGTGAGGCCCCTTGTTAGCCTGCTGAACACAGAGAGAGATGGCCTCCAGAACTACGAGGCTCTGTTGGGGCTCACAAACTTTTCAGGAAGAAGTGATAAACTTAGGTGAGCTTTGCTGCTTTTTAACCTTCCTTCTTCCCCAGGAATGAATGTGAGTTACTTGTTGGACTATGAAGACGAGTCAGTTTGAGCTACCTTTGGCAGAGCTACAAAGGTCTCAGAGCTAAAAGATTGATGAAATAAGAAAAGAAGAGTGGCATATTTTCCTCTAGAAACAGCAAAGATATGAATTTCATCTGCATTAGACAGGGAATGAACTACGTTATGAGCTGCAGACACTGATTTGTTTCAAGGCCTTCCCTGCAGTTAATATTTAATATTAATATTTAATAAGTTGACTACTGCTCTTTGCCACAGGTTGAAGATAGTCAAAGAGAAGGCCCTGCCAGATATCGAAAACTACATGTTTGAGAACCACGACCAACTTCGACAGGCAGCCACAGAGTGCATGTGCAACCTGGTGGTCAACAAGGAGGTAACCCCTGGGCATGTCCAACCTGACTGCATGTGCCTGGCCCTGTGAGGAGCTGTCCCTCATTGTGTTACCTCCGGGTATCTCTGGGTTTTTTTTTAGGTTCAGGAGCGGTTTGTGGCTGATGGCAATGACCGGCTGAAGTTGGTGGTGCTGCTGTGTGGTGAGGATGATGAGAAGGTTCAGGTTGCAGCAGCAGGAGCCCTGGCCATGCTTACAGCAGCACAAAAGAAACTCTGCTGGAAGATGACTCAAGTGGTGAGGCCATAACTCGGAGTGTGGGCAGTGTGTGGGATGTACCCTGCAAGGGTCCTGGCTCAGGTGTGAAAGTCTCTCCAAAGGAATATGCAATTTACTAGTTCAATACTGAGGAACCTAGAGAAGCTGGGGCCTGGGTGTGCATGCTTTTAGTCCATTTTGATAAATAACCTGAAATCCAAACCTTGTTCCACCTGGAAATGAGAAGAGCTTTAGAGATCCCAAAGGATGTCCTTTCCCTGCACAGATCTGTAGACCCTGAGAACCAGATCCTTCATGGCTGAGTGTCTGAAGAGTGATGGTTGAGAACTCTTGAACCCTATCTTGTTGCACACATGATTGGACTCTGGAGCTCATTAAGATAAAATGATTTATCAAGCCAACAGAGAAGCTCAAACAGGTTGGGGTGGGGGAGTGTCCTGGTCATCTCAGCTGTGTCAAGACTCTGGTCAGATTCTTTTTACAGAGATTATGCAGCAGCCTGAATATGAAACATGTTCCATGTTGTCCCAGTGCTGTGGAAGATTCTGATATAGGTGTAAGAGAAATTGGGTTAAAATGTTTGAAGTCAGGTTTCCTTGGTTAAAAAAATGAAATAACCATAAGTGACATGAATATTGCTCTTCCTTCTGCTGAAGGAAGCAAAAGTCATGTTCATGGTTGAGATGTTCCTTCCCTTGCAGACCACCCAGTGGCTTGAAATCCTGCAGAGGCTCTGCTTGCATGACAACATGGAGGTCCAGCACCGAGGACTGGTCATTGCTTTCAACTTAATCAGCTGTGACAAAGAGCTGGCGAAGAAGCTGGTGGAGTCAGAGCTCCTGGAGATCCTGACATACATCGGGAAGCAGGAGGATCACCCCAAGAAGCAGCACATCATCAGTGTGGCACGTGATTGCCTGACCAAGTGCATGGATTACGAGCTGATCAAACCTCTCTCTCAGGCGTGAGGGAATGAAAAGCACCAAAAAAAGGCTGAGTGTGGGGGGAAAAAATGGAGAAATATGGGAAAGTGAGAGCCATGAGGAGAATCTAGTGCCATTGTCAAGGCACTGAATAGTTTGGGGACAGCTTTGGAGGATCATAAGCTGTATGAAGGAAAGGAGGGAATTTGCCTGGAAAATTTGGGAAGTGTCCAACTGAGTAATTCCCAGATGGTGTAAATCCTTTCTCTGCCCCCATTCAGCTGATAATGATGAAAGCTTCAGCTGTAGAAGAGTTGGTTGTGTTGGATATGTGTCAGGAGGCTATTGGAAAGAAACTCAACAAAGCTGAAATTGGTTCTGCCACCACCTCCAGCTCCTGGTACTTCTGGAATTCCCAGCAATGGTGGAACAGGGAGGGTTAAGTGCCTTCTCTTCTATTCTATTTTGTAGTCAGAAAATAGGATTTTGGCTGTGTGCTTTTTTGTTCATTTATTGGAAGCTATGTGCCAAAGTGTGGGGCACTTAATAAATTCAAAACTTTGTTCCATGTGGAATTCCTCTTCTGATTTTATTAATCTAAAGGAGAATTTAAGGCAAGTCTTGCATCACACCTGGAAAAATGGAGTAACTGGTAACACAGGATAAATTTTCACTCCTTGCAAACCATCCAGTGCTCCTAAATGCAGCAGTTACCACAAAGGTGTCACACCAAGGCACAGGGAATGTTGAAGATATCCCATTTATGAAAAAAGCAGAATGAAAAGCAATCTACCAGTCGTCATCACATTAAACTTCATAAATATTTTCATTCAAGAACAGATTCTTAATGCAGGCTGTGGAAAACACAAAAATCACAGACTTGTTTTAATTCCTGGGAAAGTCGCTAAGCATGTAAAAAATATAATCTTACTCAATAATTATACATTTAAATATTAATTCAAACGCATTAAAATATTTCTAATAATACTAAATATTAGTGATGTTCACAATAGGCATAGCATGATGAAATGTTGAGGTTTTGGGTTATGAAAGGAACCATGTGGATAGTATTTTCTTGCATTTTAAGGGGAAAAAAACCACTTTATTTTTTATTTTTTTCCTAAATTTGGAAAATATTGAATATTTTAAGCTAATAGGTTTGATAACCTGAAGGCAAATTTATTTGGAGGTTGATTCCAGCTGTATTCAATAAATGCAATCACGTTCAGTTAAACTGTTGGTGCTTTATATTCACAGCTGGGGATTATCAGGCTGTTCTTCCAAACCGAGGGAGCCACATTCTGTGCAGGGAAATACGGTTTGTTTTCTATCAGCCTTCACTTTTTGGATACCCATTTTTAGACTTTTGAATTTGGCTTTCGAAAGTACTTTACATTAGCTCTATTCGGTTTACCTAGGGAGGATGTCCGACACCAAAACAAAATGCCATTGGTATTGCAGGGCAAAGTTTCCCTCCTCCTACTGAAGCTTCTCTTTGGAGCACCTGCGTTCTACTAACTGACTGTTGCTGAAGTTGAGCGCGGAAATACCTTCTGTAAAAGCCATTTATTGGCATTTCTTTTAGCTAAAAAGGGACAGAACACGCGTTTTACACATCCAGGGACCACCCCTCCCTCAGCCCCCCTCACGCTTCCTCAGGGCGGGAAACGCTCGCACCGCCCCCAGACCCTCTAACGCGCCTTCCTATTGGCTCCCACCCGCAGAGCCGCGCGCTGTGATTGGTTGTTACCAGCGGAGGGGCGGGGCGAAGAGGGCGGCGCGGCCGGGCCTGCGGGAGCGGAGCGGCGTGAGGGGAGCGGGGCCGGGACACGGGAACGGGGACACGGAACACGGAACACCGACCATCCAGGGGATGGGGTCCGCGGTGGGACAGCTGAGGGCTCGGAGTGTGTGGGGACGGGGGCAGGGAGGGTGAGGGGACGCGGAAGCGGCTCTGGGGGTTGGCTGAGGGGCGTGAAGCCGGCTGAGGTGTAAAGGCATGTGGGGTTTACTGGGAGGATAGCTGGGAGCTCGGGGTGTGAGGCTGGGGTAGGGCGGTACGGGCAGAGGAACTGGAGGCTAAACAGCTGCAGGGACCTGGTGGGGAGGGGACAGGGAAGGAGATGGGAAGAGAGTGTAAACGTGCGGCGTGAGGGATCCAAACAGGCCTCTGGAGCCTTGGAGAGACGCTGACTGCAGCAGCGTTCATAGGTATGACACGGTTTTTTTGCTCCTGTGTTTACCTAGTACTGCAGCAGCATTTATAGGTATGACACGGTTTTTTCTTCTTGTGTTTGCCTGCTACTGCAGCAGCATTTATAGGTATGACACGGTTTTTTCTTCTTGTGTTTGCCTGGTACTGCAGCAGCATTTATAGGTATGACACGGTTTTTTCCTCCTGTGTTTGCCTGGTACTGCTCTGCTGACCTTGGAATGCCGGTTTGTGACCCGTCTTCCTCAGCTTCTGCTCGGCTGTGGAAGAGATGTCACCTCCGTCCCTGTGCTCCCCTGCTCCCTAGGGAGGAGGAAAACTCCCAAGCCCTTGGTTGGGAGTGAGCTTCTTATGGAAGGCAAATAGATTTGCCCAGAAGCAATGATGAGCGAAGTATAGTCTGAACTGGTATTGCCGAGACTCCGTGTCTCTGCTCTGACCAGGGCATGATCACCTAATCTTCTCTCTGAGCTACTTTAGGCTAAGCTCGTCTGCAAGAAAACAGCTTTGCTGTTCTTGAAACTTTGATGCACCCTAAAAAAAAAATACTAAGAAGTTTTAGCAATTTAACAGCAGAAGCCTTGATTTGAAAAGTAACCTAAATACTTGTTGCTGCAGCATTGTGTGAGCATGCACTGATGTGGGGGATGTGGGTTTATCTCCTGTGTGTGCCATGGATCACAAAACTCCAGACACTGTGCCACTGTATCTCCTCTGAAAGTGCTGTGCAGACTCTGAGCTGTCTGTCCTGTAGAAGCTCATTAGCAGTTAATTCAGTTTCTCATTTAGTCCTTGCCAGCAAGGAGCCAGGAGTATTTTTAGAATACTCCTCATGAAGTGCAACTCTTTGAGGTTGAGGGAAGGGCCCAGGAAAAGAGATTGGGCTATTCTCTAATTCAGTTTTTTTGTTCTTTTCCAGGTCCTGATGATATCTTTATATTGATTTCTCTATTCCTGTGGAGAAGGAAGCATCTGTGTGGAATATGGACCTACAAGAGTATGTTTTAGTGGTTTTCCTTTAACAGGAGAAGCTACTTTTTTCTGTTAAGGAAGTAGCAAAAACTCAGTTGCTTCATGCTCTGATTTTTGAACCCTGCCTAGATGAGCTGTGAATGAATGTGCCTTAGGTTCACAAAATAATTTTTAAAAGATTTGCGAAGTGAAGTTCTGGCACTGGGATACTGAACACCTCCAGTGCTGCTGTTAATGTTGATGAAATTGTATTGAGCAACACCAAAGCATCCTTAGGGTGTTTGTGGTACATGACTCTATAGAAATCACAGATTGGTATGTAAGTCCAAAGGTTGGTTTAATAAAGTTGATGCTCCCTGAAAGAAACTTCTCTTGTCAATCTTTAGCCTGTCGTGGTTTCAAGAATACACTTATAAAGCAGATAAATGGGAATTTTTCTATAACCCAAGCTGGTTTTGTAGCTTAGCTTTAGAGCAAGAAAGCTGACAAATGAGCATTAATTGGCTGCTAAGGACAGGAGGTTTCAAAGGAGTCAAATCCCAGTTGGTATCCTGCAGCCATCTCCAGGATCACACAAAATCTGCCAGGTAACTGCTGAGCCTGTCACCATGGTGGGTTTGACACTTGTTACTCAGCTAAGCTTTAAAGGACAATTGTGTAAAAGAGTAATTGCAGCTGCTCAGAACTGGGAGGCTTCGATGTGGGTGGTTCTGTGCAGGAAAATAAACCTATCCTGAAAAGCAATCATCAATCAAATGCTTATTTAAATGAGCTTTGCATTGGAGTCACCACGACATTAACAAAAAAGTGATGTGGAAGCTCAGAAAATCTCACACCTCGACGTGATTCATCTTCCAGTAAGATGTGTGTCCTTACTGGCTCTCTAAAGGGAAGAGAAGTATCTTCATGGACTCCATAGCTACTGGAGAAGATAAATCAGAGTTTTTATTATTCCATAGTGGCACAGGTAGAAGGGTCAGGGAGGTGTACAGAGATAATAAAGCACCAGGAACAAATCTCGTTTATTAGGTGTTTGGGGAAGATTCAAATTACTGCATTTTCCCACATTATTCAATAACCTTATTCTCTTGCTTACAGGTGAAGGAGGATATTGGGGATTTTTATCTTCTGAAGCAGAGCTAAAGTGGAGAGAAAATGAGATGTCTGGATTAAATGTTAGAAAATATCTCTAAATCTGGAAAGACCAGAGTGGGGTCCTGGACTCTGTGCAGCAGACTTTGCTCTTGTATTCTCTAAGCACTGTCACCGTGATATCTGGAGTACTGCTGCTCCCTAGAGTAAGGAAAACAACCTTTCATCTGAAAAATCAGGTGTCAAGCAAGAGCCAGCCATGTCACACAGCTTTTATTTCCTCCTCTGTTCAGTGGAAGGATGTTTTGTTCCGATATGAATGTGCTACATGGTTGGGAATGGAATAATTGCAATGTAATGCTCAGACATTAAAGATTCTCAGCCTACAAAATGCTAATCTTACATCCACTACCATCACATGGAAAAATGAAAGCAGCTTTAGTCTTGTCTCTCTTATGTCTCTCTCTTGCTCCCCAGAGAAGCAAGCTGTTTTTTCAATAACCAGAAAAGAATTAAATTAGGTTCTCAGTCAAGAAAGAATTTCGCTTTATAAAAGCAGGTAATAATGAATGAAAAGACTTCTTTAACAATAAACCCCTCTCATCAATTGGGAGTTTGTTTTAATCTGGTTTGTCATTTTCTCTCTTGTGCAGAAAATGTCACATTCCTCTTGTCCATCTTAAACAGTCAAAAGTCTTAATTTAGAACTGTTGATGGGAATTTGGAGGGTGATGTTCTCAGTTCCAAGATGAAGAGCCTGAAAATGCAGGAGGCTGAAGAGCACAGGTTTAAGCCTGTCTCCACCTCTGACAAAGCCAGAGCTCACCCTGGGCAGCACAAGGGCCTGGGAAGCTGCCCAGGGAAGAAAAACATGCCTAGAGAATCTCCCTACCTCTTTAATTTGCTGGCTCACGCCCTCAAGCAGCACCAGTGCTGGTCTTCGATTTGGATAAGAGGAATGTAGATGTGAGGATCAATGTTTCCTCCCTTTCAGCTGGTCTTTTATGGCACTTCAGTGCTGGCTGACAGGCAGGGGCTGTATGATCCCTCTGCAACTGCCAGGATGTTTGAACAGCTTATCAGCAAAGGGCAGAGCATTGCCAGGGTGTGCAAAGGCAGCAAAGCTGACCAACCACCGAGTCCAAGGGCGCTGCAGAGCTCACCGAGGAGCTGCGGTGCTCTGAAGCCTTCCAAGGGATGCACAAAGAGGTGCTGGAGACTCCTGGCAGCCCTTCAGCTCTCAGGGGAGTAGAGTTTGACCAGGTGCTGCAGCTCTGTGGCATAGCCCGTGACCGGGCAGCGCTGGTGAGCCTTCACGTAGCCGTGGGCGCAGCGGTAGCAGAACACGAAGCCGGAGGTGGCCAGGGCCGTGGCGTTCACGCGGACCTTGCGGCACAGGGGGCACACGGTCCTCAGGCTGGGCAGGAGAGCAGAGCCGGGCTCCTGCTCCAGGTGCACGGGCGGTGGGGGCGTGGGCAGCGCTGTCAGGGACTTGATGGTCTCCTGGTTTTCTGAGGAGTACCACCAGTCCAGGAACTGGAGGAAGAACACGCTGACGGACAGGCCGGTGGACAGGGAGAAGGCAATGCCAGCCAGAGCTTTCCTCAGGGCCAACTGCACTCGTGAGATAAAGCTGGAGCAGAGAGAAGCAGGAGAGGTGGTTACTACTGCACATTTATCCATCTAGAAACCATGGGAAAAGCACCTGGGGAGTGACTGCTTCACACAGCTCCTTAACGCTAAGTTAGTTGGTCAATGCGTCCCCCTATTTGCACTTACTAGGATGTTTCAGATACTTTTTTTATTTTAAGGAATATCCAAATGCTGCTTTTTTGAGAAGTCTAAATCAGAAGAATTTGGATTAAAGGATCCTGGACCACAGAGTGTTTCACTCCTGCATCACAGGGTATTGAGTGTGCCCATGACTAACTGCTGCTTAGGAAAATCAAAGAAAGAAGTTTCAATCCTTTCAGCAACATTGCTGCAACTGTTGCACCTCCTTTGCTGGAAAAGTGCAGGGGAAGACTGAACAGAATAAAGGCTTCCATGCCCAAAAACGCCCCCAAATTCTGAAATATTACCACAAAATAGTTTAAAGCTAATCCCTGCTACTGGTTTACTTATTTTCACTCACAATACATCCTTTTGGAGCACATTTTGTCAAGAGCAAACTTTCATCTTGAATTTTTGGAGAACAAGGCACTTGTACTTGCAGCATCATCTCTAAATTTACATGCCCACAGAACCCCCTGGAGAGCAACACCTGAGCCAGGTTCTGCCATACCTGTGTGTTTGACTTGAGGTGGTTTCAGCCCATTTCTTCTCCAGGGCCTGGATATCCTCTGCAGTCAGCCTGACCAGGCGGACACCAGCCAGCTTTAGCATGGGGGAATGATGCTCAGCCTTGCCCAGGATGTAGCAGAGCTGCTGGATAAGAAACCAGCCCTCCCAGGTCATGTTTACATAGGGGTAGGCAGCTAGAAAGGCTCTGTAGAAGCGCTTCCAGGATGAGGAGGGAGGGTGGATGGAGTACTCATCCTCCTCCCTCAGGCTGGACACCAGTTTCTCCAGCTTCCCTTTCAGATAAGGAACAAGAACCAGCAGGAGCAGAGACTTCCAGTGCTGCCTCTTTGGCAGGCCAGCTGTGGCCAGAGGTCGCTGTCTGCCATCTCCCATTGGGATCCTCTTCATGCTGTAGAAGTTCTCAGAGAAGGATGCACTGCACCTGGCCAGGGAGTGCTGCTGGAGCAGCAAATCCAGAAGGACATAGATCTCATCAAACCAGTGCCAGAGGAACCCATACCGGGCAGGATTAGACTCAGCAAGCACCTGTTGGAAAAGGGACACAAAACAGGAGGAATCAGAGTGGTCTGGGCTGGAAGGAGCATTATAGATCATGCGGTTCCAGCCCGACACCTTCTGCTATCCCTGACTGCTCCAAGGCCCGTCCAATCTGGATTTGAACATCCCAGGGATGGGGCAGCCACAGCTTCTCTGGGCAGCCTGTGCCTGAGGAAGGGAAGGATGTAAAAAGCAGAGTAAAGCGCTAAATTATAAATCAGAGCAGCTATAAACGATGCCTCTCATTCTCACCATGTTATAAACGAGAATTTATTCAGCCAGATTAAAAATAAAAATAATTTTATTTGCGGTCAAATTCTATCTAGCCAGCCACACAGAAAGGACAGAGCCGAGCCCGGGATCGACCCTGGGTGTGCAACAAGGAGTCAGCCTCAGCAGAGGTTTTCTCCTATGCCCACACCTCCATCCTGGTACAAGCGGTTTTTATAGGGAAAATTCCGCCTGAGGCCAAGATTCCAGCAGTTAGTCTTTTCTTCTATTCAGAGTCTATAGGTTAATAAGATTTTCTTTTTTTGGTGATGAGGAGAAATAATTCAATGTCCGGAGTAG